TTCTAAATTAAAACCGAGCAGTTTTAGTGAGGATGTTAAGGTTTGCGGTGCCTGGCTTGAGGTGGTGGAGGGGGCACAGCACCGCTGGGATGAACAGGGCTGGTGTTTGACAACTCGTCAGGGATCTACCAGAAACGGGTTAGAAAGCTCTCGGTTAGGAATTTCCAAAATCAGCTTTTTTTTTTTTGTCCACAGCAATGGCTTGTGTCACCGCTGCCCGCACTTCGTAGCGCTGTGCGGGCTGCGTAGTGTTTTTAAATGCTTTGTGGCACACGTACCATGGATCGGGATCCCCTTTTCCCCCTCCTCGTCCCCGCTGAACGGGGAGACGTCCCTCTCAGGGCTGGGACGTGAGGACATTTCCCCTAGAGCCCCAAATTTCCAGCTCCTCCCAAGGAACGCGATGCCAACGCTCTCCCTGACAGATGGTTCTTTGCCGTGGTGGGATTTCTTCACTTCTTTTCTGGCCAGATTTTGGGGTTTTTTTGCAACAGAGAAAGGGGAAAACCAGAGCTAAGTGTCAACAGCCTGGGACAAGAGCCTGAACTCAAGTTGTCCATAAACAAGGAGGAATTTGAATTCGGAGTTTGGGAAGTCCCGTGCCTGTCATCTGGTCTGGGCAGGAAGACTCGGTTGCGTCAGGCAGGGAGAGCGAGACCTCTCCCGGTCTCCCGGCGCGCGGCAAGGGCCAGCTGAACCCACTGCTCTCGGCCCTGTTGGCCAAGGCTGCTTCTTCTAAAAGAACAAATCCAGCTCATCTCTTTGCCAAACCGGTCCTCCTTGCCTTTGGCCTCACTTAGGTTTTAAATAGGTTGTTATGAAGGGAGGAAAAAGTAGCAAAAAGTAAAAGTTTTCCTGAGCTTCCGTCCCTGCTGCGCCCATTTGTCCCTTGGAAGGCCCCAGCAGGTTCTGCAGATGCTGGAGAGAGCAAAGAAATAAGGAAGTTTTCTTCTTTTTCAGCAACCAAAGCTACTCGGAGGCTGCCAGCGTGTGCGTGTGCGCAACGGGGATCCTCGCCGGAGATGCTCACCCCGAACATCGAGACCCCGTGATGTGGAGAACCAGGTCGGGCGGCTAAAACTGGGGTGACGGGACCTTGTGGGGAGGTTTTGGTGGTGGTTGGGGTGGGGATGGCCATCCCCTGGGCTGTGGGGCTGCTGGCCCCCCCAGGGCCCTGCCCATCTTTTGGGCTGTGCGGACATCTAGAGGCACTGCCAGGAACGGCAGAGGAGCGCGTTCCCTCCATCCACCCCTGCGGGCTGGGTGGTGGGATCACAGGGGGGCCAGGCTGGGGATACTGCTGCATTCAGCCCACCCGAGTCCTAGGTACAAGGTTTAAGGGGAGGCGAGTGAACCTGCGTTTAAATTTGGCTGCTGGGAGCCGATGTCTTGTGTTTTGTCCTTTTGTAAAAGGGAGAATTAGCGTTGATCTTTACTTTGTGTGTGGGTAAGGAGGAGGAGGAAGGGCTGTAAGAGGCTGAAAACCGTTTGCCGCTTCGCGCGGGCAAGGGGAGGTTGGACCTCCGGAGATCTGGGTTCCGTGTGTCTGCCGCCCAAATGCCGCTGGCAGCTTCTTCCTTTTTTAGCTTTTTTTTTCTTTTTTTTCCTGTAGTTGACGATTATTTGTCATGCCAAATGAGGAGGGACGTGAGGAAGCGCTCCACACCGAGACGTGCCCGTTTCAGCCACTGTCCCCATTCCTGTTCCCGGCCGGTGACGCTGCTTGAGATGTTGGCCGTTACAAACTCGAGGAGGCCGAATCTAACCCTGAACTTTGTGGAGGAAGTTCTCGCCTTTGGCCTTAACATCTTGCGAACAAAACATGCCGGAATTTGGCAGGAAACGCGCCGAGGAAAGCTGCACATTCGGGCGGCTTTTAAACCAGCGCTGCCTTTTTGATGTGGGACAGCTCTGGTCCCGGTTCTACGATTCGTTCTATGATTCGTTCTTTGGTTTGCAGGTTAGAAGCTTGACACCTCCGACTTACACAGCTGCCTGCCCTCACCGCTGCACCGGGAGCTGGCAAACGTGGCTACCGCTGACGATCGGACTGGTTTATGAGAGGCAGAAGCAGCTGCTAATGAAGATTCAGGTTTGGCTACTACATCTCATGCCCCAAGGCTCTGACGTTTCTCTTAACGACTAGAAATTGGGCTGAGACGGGGTGTAAGAGGAGCAGATTGTCCCAGACTTCTCACACCTTCCTGCGAGACCCAGTGCTGGCTGCTGTTGACAACCCGGCAAACCCCGGGTCTGATCCAGACTGGGAATTCCCTTGCTCCAGCCACCCAGCTCGGGCATCTGGATACAGAACGGCCCAAACCGGGCTCGCTTTTGAAAACGCTGGCCAGTGTTGCTGGTATCTTTTTTAGCAGGTGACATATGCTGGGAAATATAAGGGCTCGATCCAAAGCCTACTGACGTCAATGGCGATACTCTTGTTGACATCAGTGGGGCTTGGATCCGCGCCTACGTTCCGCTTCTTTATTTCAGACTGCAATCTGTCAGGGGTAGAAAGGTCTCTCATCTACTCACAGACTTGAGCGCGTCTTTGAAAGGTCTTGCTTCTTTTGCAATCCCGAAGTTGAGGATGCAGAGTACCGAACAATTTGGAGAACAGACGCAAACCCGTTCAACGCCGTGTGCATTGCTGGATCCAAGCCATGCTGCGGCTCGGGTTTAAGCATCTGCGTCACCTGGAAGGGAGATGGTGGCCCTTGTGACGTGCTGTGACTCCCCAATACCTGCTCCAACCAGAATCTCAGCTTCAGACCCCCGTGAGTTGCTCAGGGCCGTCCAGCTCACCCCTTCCAGAGAGTGCCGACCAAAGTCCTCTCTCCGGGGAGCATCTGGATGACGCTCTTAGTCGTGTGGTTTAGTATTAGGTAGTCCTGCGGGGAGCTGGGAGTTGGACTCAACGGTCCTTTTGGACCTTCCAACTCGAGATATTCTGTGATTCTCATGGGTTTTGGGGTTTGTCAGGTGGATGGTGTGGTGCTTAGGGACATGGTTTAGTGGTGCCCTTGGCAGCGGCCTCGATGATCTTAAAGGTCCTTTATGACCTAAATGATCCTATGATCCTACGATGATGTGTGAGGGGTCTTGAATCCACCTTTCACACGTCGACCCCAGGAAATCTGCTCTTCTTTGCGATGGGATCAAAGCCCTTGGAGCCCAATTCGTTGCCCCTTTCCCTGGTGGGAACCCCGTGGCCAGTTCAGGGCTCCCGAGGATTTTAACCCTACGGGGAATGTCGCTCCCACAACCTCCCCCCAAAGTGATGGAGCGTAGCGGCAAGGCAGGCTGGCTTCCTCTCCTCGTTCGGTGTGTGTGTATATATAGACCGTAAAATGCTCCGGAGTAAAAGGGGCAGTGGGTGGAAGGCGAGATATTATTATCTTCACCTGCTGCTGCCGACCAAAGAAATAAAGAGACAGATGACAGGAAATGAGGACTTCAAAAATAGACACCTTTAATGTCAAAAACTTCGGGGATTAGCGAGAGCACCGTACAAGAAACAGAGGAACTCTCACGCAAGTCACCGTGTGCTTTGAGTTCTCGCCGGAGGAGGAAATATGCTGAGGTATCTAAGAAACGTTTCCGTATTTTTGTACCTTCGGCAGAAGAACCAGAGGGGGAAAAGAGAAATCCTGACCAAAGAAACCGTAGGCATGCCGAAACGTGAATTGTAAAACCTCCCTTTACAGCTCGACGGATCCTCCGTACCTAGATTGCAATTCTCTTTCCCCACCCCGTGTCTGCCAGCTTAATTCTCTGCCTCCGCGAGGCTTTGCAAGGCTCTTCTTACAGCTCCACGGGACAGGAATAGCAAAGTTTTTAATGTGAGCCCTCTTTATTAAAAAAAAAAAAAGAAGTCTTTGCATACGGAAAATATTTCTTATCATATAGAACTCTAGCTGCTTTACTTAAAACCTCTTAAATATATTAAACATCTAATTTGGCCTCACCTCTGTATTTATGTACATCTGCTAGTCGTTCCCCTGCCCAGCGATGCGGTCATATGGCTTTTTGCCAGCTCCGCGTCTTCATTATTAATTCTCTTTTGCCAGCGAAACCCACAGCCTGGGTTGGATTTGAACGGGGTTGTGGCAGTGACAGAGAAAGTTGGGCCCGAGGGAGAGGAATACCAAGGGGTATTTTTCCTCACTGAAACTCAACGCTGGTCCAAAGTCCATAACTGGCTATACTGAGTCCGAGACAGGTGCCGAGACAACAAGGAAAAATAGCAACGGCGGCCTGAAATGTCAGAGACCTGACACTCTGCGGCTCCTGACGCTGGAAATCAGCACGTTACGGATCCCGAGAGAGGAGAATAGGGTACGAAATGGTTGGTTTCTAGCTCCAAAATCTCAAACCTTGGTCACAACGCTCTGATAGTCAACTTAGTGCCTCGCTTCACTCTCGCATTGCTTTGGTAGCAGCTGGTCAAGGGGCCCCAAATCCACCAAACAACATTTTTTTGACTGCTAAAAATTAGGATCTGGGCTTTGAGCCCGTTATTTCTGAATCGGTAGGGTTCCTGAGTAAAAGTCTGCTGCAGTAACACTGCAGGAAAGGTATAAAGCAAGTTTATGGAACGGCTTTGCGGGGCAGAGAGGTTTTCTAACTGTGTCTTCACTCCCTGTGTTTCTTTTTCTTTGATACGACTGCAATGTCCTCGCCTTTAGAAAAAAGAAATGCTTCAGCACCCCACAGGAAAAAAAAATAAATTGTGATCTGCCTTCGGGAGAGGAACCGGGTTCGGTCGGTGCCGTACGTGCGAGAACGGCGGCTGCAGACCGGCGTCTCACCGTCTTTCATCTCCAGCGCTCCCCTCTCCGAAGGTCTGGGTCTCTGGTTATCGCCGCAGAGACACTCGATCCTAGGTAAGGCGTCTCTCTTGATCTGCAAGGCATGGCTCTCGAGTCAGCACCTCTCTCGGGTTACCCCTGGGGACCGGCTGGATGTGTCCCCTGCTCTGTACGCAACGCCAGCGAGAGTTAAAAGTGCAACAAAACAGCCCAAAGACCCAAGGCGAGGAAGAAGGAGGAAGAAGAGACGCGCGGGCAGCCTGCCCCAGCCTGGAAGATGTGCAGTTTCTCCGCGTTGGGAAGGAAGACCCTGGCGTCTTCCAAAGCTCCGTGAGCCGCCATGGTGAAGTTGGCATCGCCGGAGGTCACCACATCGAAGACACACGACTGGAAGTAGACGTCCTCCACTCCACGGGCAGCATCTCCTTGCAGAGTGCCCGGGCCGTCTCGGCCGCCGCACGGCCACGACCACGGCAGCACTCGCTGCGGGAGATACGTTGGCTTCGGGGGCAACCGCCCACGCAGAGCTGCAGGTCTTGCTCTTCCGTGAAGGCGCGTGCCACCTCCTCAGCTGCCCGGATGGAGAAGGAGAGCTGCCGGCCGGCCTGACGGATGGCGATGGTGGTACCGATGTATTCCGCGCGGATCTCCACGTGCCGCCCAGGGCTGCGCTCCCGGATAGCCAAACTGCTCCCGCCTGGCCTCTCGCCCCCGTTCACCGAGCCGTCCTCGAAGGCTGCCGGGAGGTTGTCTATCTCCGCCTGGTAGACCTTCTGGTCGATGCATTCCTTCATGTTCTTGAATATGATGGTGAGCTGCGGAGAGCAGATCAGAGGGGGTTTGATCTCGCTCGGTGAGCACGAGAGTCGCGGCCACGTCCCTGTCCCAGGGATCGGCTATCTAGGGGAGGGCGAGGCAGATTGCACGCGTCTGCCTCGCCGATGCATCCCTCTCTGCCCCAAACCATCTCTCCCCCGTTGCTGCAATCCTTTCGGGAAAACAGCAAATTCCTTCCTTAGTTTCCTTCTTTCTTTAATACCAAGTAAGCAACTGAAAACGGAGACGGAGCCAAGCCCGGGTAGGTTGCTTGCAGGTAACCCACGGACCGCGCGGTAACCCATCCCCAGGCAGCAACGGGAGCGTTTGCAGGTCTCTCTGGTCCCCTGGAGGACCTCCATCCCACTTGTTCCTGCAGACTTTCATTCCTGATCCCATCTGGGTTGAGCTGAAGCTTATTCCTGCCCTCCCCAGCCATTTTAGGGAGCGGAGGGAGTACCCCAAGCCGTTGCCGCATGCCGGAGGTGCACGGGTTTGCTGCCAAGCCCTACACCCGAGGGTTACCTTGCTAGTGACCGTAGCGTTGGAGCCCTTCATCACCGGAGAGCTGGTTGCTTGCACAAACAAGTAGTCATTGTCCAAGAGAGGCCAGGAGCCCTCCACTCGGCAAGTGTGGAAGTCGTCGTGGAAAGTGCGGATGTGGGGGTCCCCGAAAGCCGCACAGTGCTGGTAGCTGGGGGGCTGGCCGTGCTTGTAGAGAAAACTTTTCTCGTAGTTGCAGATATCGAGAGACTCGAAGCCCTGATGGTTGGGGGCTGGGGGCCGAGGTCGGGGTGGTGATGTGGGACCTTCCTTGGAGCAGTTGTTCTGGATCATGAGGTCCTCGATGCCGTGGACGGCGGAGTGGTAGGCCAGGTTACCCCGGCACGTGCGAGCCGTCTTACGGGTGCAGTGGGAGTAGGAGCGGAGGGCGTTGCAGTACGCCGCGTTCCGGTTGGAACCGCGCAGGTTGAGGGTAGCAGCCACGTACTCCGAGTTGCAACGCAGGATCTTGCACTGGGAAGAAACTGGGAGAGACGGGATGGCTCGATGCATCCCGGTAGAGCTGTAGGCGTGGGGAAGGGCAACCTTTTCTCCTCCCACCATCTGCCCCACGAGAGATCTCATGATGGAGACCCTTTCTGGAAGCGCTTATCCCCCTGTTTTAACAAACTCCATGGCCAGTTTTAAGTGAGGTGCCTGAGGGGAAGGAATCCAGGGTTGCCTGCTACAGAAACAGGCTGGAGCCTGGTGCAGAGGACGGCCTGGGGGAAGTGACGGGGCCGAAGGGGTGTCCTGGAGCAACTGGGATGTGAGATCCGACCTGGGGCATCGACGTGGTGGCCCTGGGATGTGGCTCAGACTGAGATTTTTCACCCCAGGGCTTGCCAATCAGGAATTTCTGAGCTGGGAAACCCCTTCTTCCCATTCCAACCTTGGCCAGGCCGTGCAATCGCTCTTTTGGGAGAGGCTTGGCTGCACCAAGGACCTCCTGCCCCTCAGACGCGCTTTCTCCGTGCCGCAGAAGGCAGTGCCATGTGCCACAGCTCCAGGAGAGCTCACGGACTCGCCCCAGCGGGGATCGTTTCGCTCGTTAAACCGAGGGGTTTTAAGGGATAGCTGCCCTTGCAGGGGATGAACGCAAACTGGGCCGGGCAAGGTGTTGGGAAGGGAATTTAGGTTTTGGAGGATGCAGGTGTCCGTCCCTCTAGCAGAGCATCTGGGATGCAGGAAGGGAAGCGAGGGAGCGAGCGATGGATATGGCTGGTGCCTTTCGCTACAAGACCTTGGGCTTTGGCTGTGCCCTGCTGTCCCTGCCTTATCTGGGGAGAAAACAGAGCTTTTCAGGGCTCTCCCAGAGAAAGTGCCTGCTGCAGGGGATGCTCTCATCGCGGAGGCCGCCCTGGTAGGGGCAGGCGATGCTGGTGGGAATGCTGCCTGCCCTTCCCTCCGGCTGGGCTGGGCGCTCTGATACTGCCTGAGCCTTATGGCTGCGATGAGAGGCTCTTCTGCATCCTCCGGTCACCTCCCAGGAGCTCTGCCACCCTCGTACCTCCCTGCACCCTGGGGCTGCTGCTCCCGTGGGTATCCTTGCCAGGGATGTGGCTCTGGCATGGCTCTACCCATGCGGTTCCTTACCATGCCTGCAGAAGAGGAGGAGGAAGAGAGCTCGGAGGAAGAAGCTGAGGTTTTCCAGCTGCCCTGGGCTCTTACTGCAGGCAGGTTTCCCCATTCCAGTCCATGCAGAGCCTGGAGGGGTTGCTCACCCGCTGGCTTCTCTCCGCTTCATGCAGCAGGTCCCCTAGAAGGAAAGCAGAGATGGGATCCGAGAGGTGCCAGCAAACGTGAGCTGCCGCAGGTACGGAGCTGCCAGCAGGCAGGCAGCTGCCAAACATGCCTCTTGGAGGGAGGCAAGCTTTTTGAGCAAAATCCTGGAGGGTTTGGGGTTTTTTTTTTTAACTGCTTTTAACCACTGCAGCTCTCATCTTCCATCCCCAGGCAGCTGCGCCGTGTAGTTCAGCATGTCAAAAAGTTAAAGCTTCCCAGCTGCCCTTGGAGAGGAGCAGGGAGCTCCAGGGGCTCGGAGAGACTTCGCCGCAGGGATGCCAGCAGCCGATGAGCGCGGAGAGGGCCCGAACCATCCTACCTCTCAGGTGCAGCGTGGGA